TGTTGTTTAAAATCACCTAGTATATGATCGGAGTACCGTCCTCTTCGAAATTCACCTTCAGACTGACGAATTGTATTCTATCAAAATTTCTTATATTCAATGTTGTTTATATGACTTTCCGAACACTACACATGTGTATAACGGGTATACTATTAGTAACAAATACAAATTAAGATAAAAACGTTCTAATGTTAGTATTTTTTGCATTCTAATGTAATTATTATATAAATAATTTTAAATTCTCTTTATTCGGAATATTATTACTGTTGTACACACGTGCGATGTTTGAAAAGTCATATAAACAATATTACATATAAGAATTTTGATAGAGGACAACGTGCCAGTCTGAAGGTGAATTTCGAAGAGGACGGTACTCCGATCATATACTAGGTGATTTTAAACAACAATACACATTCCCATTGATTAATTAACAATTATTTAGGGGATATCGATCGATCGTTGATTCTATCTTTACCACTCTCTTTCTCTATCTCTATTCTCTATTTTTTTTGCATGTATTTTTATAAAATGTTATAATTATTGTTCCTTAATAAGTTTCATTTCTGAGAAAGAAAAAAGATACATTTCATTTAACCAATAGGGGAGTCTAAAATTGGAACTTGCAAGTACTATCAGAGTTATTGATTGTGTTGTTTGATTGCATTGAATATCCTTCGAAATGAGTTGTTCGTCGATACCATAAAGAACGGTTAACGTTTTGCGGTCGATCGACGCATCGAGGTTACAACGACGCATCGGATACATTACTTTTAAAGTTACTTTTTTATTGCCAGATGTATGCACTCTTACAAAAACAGGCAAAGATGTATATGCAAATTATGCAACGTATCCTTGAAATCATTGCAATTAACTAACAATAAGACTAATGGCTTTTGCGAAATAATAAAAAAAGATAAAATTAAAAATGCATCTATGTACTACTACGTTGGAGATGTTCGAAAATATTAATATTTCGTGAAAAATTACTCACGTACACGCTCTCTTTTGAAATCTTTCTTCTCTTATCGTAGAACGTACCAATGTAAGAAAAGTTAAAGATTAAACAAAAAAGTGTCACGCCCATGAAACCAACTCGAAAGAGTTCCGTTCCTTTATTTTGGCCAAATATCAAAATTAAAATCAAATATTTATATTATAGAAAAAGAAGAAAAAAAAATATGAACGAACATAACGGAGTTTTGAAATGGCAACTACAATTGATCATTCTTCTGGACGGTCTTACGAAGTTACATATCCATCCGTAGAACGGATTAACGGTACGACATTTAACTGACGTCAGTTCTTTTTACTCGCGGTTCCTCAGCTTGAAAGAACTGTTCATACTTCTTCGTTCAACGCGGGGACCACAGCATAGGCGGCTTGTTTTTACGACCTTTTTAACTCTTCTTCCACGTATGCAAGTTATAAGTTATATATACTCTGTAATGCGAGTACGAAACGCATCTAGGCAAATTTGCTCGATTAAAGACGGACGTCCGAATTGTCAGGGCAATTAATTAAAGTCTATGTCAATTCGGAACCTTCGGAACCTTTCGGAACCTTTCGACGAACGGAAACTCGACTAAAAGTTCATTTCGTACATCACCGAATACGCCATTTCAAATAACCAGTTAAACAAACACTCCGTTCTCGCCGTAAGATGATTAGAAGTAGAAAAGATAAAAATGAGAATTTAAAAAATAAACCAACAGTAAGAGAGAGAGAGAGAGAGAGAGAGAGAGACGAGGAGAGAGAAGGGGAACGTTAAGTCAGCATTTTTCAACCTACAGCCTACGAAATGATTTTACTGCTACTTTACGTTGATACGTAAAAAGTGTAGAAATATTTGGAGAAAAAAAAGTTATTGTAAAATGTTGTTGCAAGTACAAGACGTATCTTTAAAATAATAAATTAAACATATACATAGGTAAACAGGTAATGCGTTTGATCGATCGGCAGATAGGTTGAGAATCGCTGCGTTAAATGACGAAGGATAGCAAAATTGATGTCTCTCCTCGTTCACTCGATGATATCACGATTACCGTCATCGCGTCGATGCTCTCGAGGGCGCATTCTATTCACTTCCGAATAGAACAGATTACCGGAGTAAATAAATTATTTATTCAAATATTCCAAAGACGTTCACACCCATGGGGCGCTCGTCGGTGACGTAACTGTAAACACGAGACCCGAAGAGAATTGATTAAACTCGTTCATACGAACGAAAACGGGGGATGAACGAAAGGAAGACGATACCGATTCTTATTAACGCTTTCAACAAAATGAAGACACGAGAGATGGAGAGAGGTCAACGATACCGAAGAAGCCACAGTGGGTGCGAGTGGGTGCGAGTGGGTGCGAGTGGGCGATAATCTAAGAAAATCTACTCGGCACGATTCCTTCTCTCTCGTCATTTGTCAAAAGTCAGGTCGATCGTTTAGTTCAACTAAGTTGATGACCTTAACGTTTTACTGTCACTTAATGCAAGCACGCTTTTGACAGTGACTCATTGTCAGATCCGAATCCAGCATAGTGACGAAATCGATCGTACACGACGAATGAAGAGAGAAACGCTAACTATGAGAGGTAAATGCTATCTATAGACACCAAAAAGAAAAAAAAAAGAAAGGAAAAGAAAAAACAAGAAGACGAGCGTAGCGAGCATTGTTGAAATGGTCAAAGACGGTAACTAATAATGCCTCCGGTTGTATTTCTACATACGTCGTGAACGATCGTCGTCGCATTTGAAATTCTACTTCTTGCCTATGTTGCAAGAATAAACGTAGGACACATCGTTAAAGAAAATTCTTCGAAAACATTTTGATTATTTCGACATAGAATCCACATCAAACGTAAATAGATAACGTACGATTTGAATTAATTGTGAGTCGAGTTGTTGCACAGGAGGAAGAAGATGATGCAAGTGTCTTGCATAGACGTTGATTAAAGAAGAGCCATTATAAAAGTCCTTCCCTTTAGCAGTTAGCTCCTCTTGAAAGAAGGGAAGAGAAAGAGAATAGGGCGAATCGATCAACGACCGGACGCGGATGACTGAAAGCGCGAGTTTACGAGTTCACGCATCGACGAGTAAAAGCGACCTGCTTGCTGCTTGCTTGCCTCCACAGAGAGATATCCCCGATGGGAAGAACTGCGAGAATTAGGTCAACGGTTGGTGAGCGACGACGACGACGACGACGACGACGGCTCTCGGTCCATGTCTTGACAGGTGAACAAAGCGAACGAGGGAGAGGGATGGAACATGTTCGATATCTCTCTAACGGAGTATCAAGAGGAAGCACTTATTTACTTCCTCGTCGGCGAAAATCTACCTATCGTAAATGCCATTTAATAGGTTTAAGACGATGCTGGAGAAATACGATACGCGATTTCATTTGGAAGGTAGAAATGGAGAAAGAGAGGGGCACTCTTTGCCCCTCACGTTCGCCCGGTGGAATCGATGCCAAGGAACGATGCGAATCACAACCAAGCACAAAATACTCTTTCGCAGAATAACATTCTTTCGCGATGACCGATTCACACCTACGCAATATTGTGCATTTTCAATACGTAAGGATGATTAAAAGTATTGAAATAAACGATAAATAGAATCAAATGAAAAAGAGAGAGAGAGAGAGATAGGAAACTCCCATGATTGCCGCACGCCATTTTTATATGTCGACGATCTGGCCGTCTCGCGATAACCGATAGACAATTTTAATCGATTTTACCTTTTTTAAAATGAAACTCTTTGATTAGTTGCACTTACCCTTACGAAGGGACACCCTGCTACACTGTTCGATCCCACAACTCGCATAAAATCCCGCCCAAGTACACCAAATAAACCACCGACGACAAATCCGTCCGCACACTCGACCGGCGCGCAACCGACTGACCGCGCACGGCGTCGACCTACGCCGTCGTCAACTAGTCCCGCTCACCGACTTCGCTGATTCGTTCAACTACGAAAATGTCCTGCTCTACCTTATCAAGATTCATTTTGCAATAATGAAGTCATTTCGAAAAGAAATTATAAAAAATGCTTTCGTGTTTATTTTTGTCTTACGATAAATATATCGAAAGGTCGAATAAATGCTAGTATAAATAAGCTATTTTATATGACACTTTTCTTTGTAAACAATAACATATATATATATATAATACATAATATTATTTTCAATTCAAAATAGTAAGGTGTGTTCGATTGCATTCAGTATAATGCTACTAGCAACAAAAGCTTACTTATATATAATTGGCGTAATTACTAATTTGATATCTATCTTCTACATACATCGTAGGTTTATATTGAAACAATGAAGATAATTGTATCTATCTTTTAATCCTAAATAAAACACGTTACTTTTCATTACTCACGTTACATAAATATAAATTTTGGTTACACATGAATTCTGTTAAAATTAAACATATTAAGTTTAGATGTTGTTATTAAAGTAAGATAACGGTACTTGTAATGGTTCAATCTGTTCTCTCAGGAAGGAGGATTGAATTTCTGTAATAATTATTAAATTACATTTCAATGTACGTCTACAAAAATCGGAAACCGGTAACATGCATTCAGACCGGTAGATGCATCGGTACTTGTATGTACCTGCATGCTTGCCGTGCAGGCGTAGGAATACAAGCCATCGGCTATGACATCATCGGCCCTGTTTATAACACATTCTGGATCGGGCACGCCCCATCTTCTATATATTCTTTGTTGATTTAATTTTTCCAATTTTTTTTTTTTTTATGATCATGGAAAATATAAATCAACATCTATCATTTTTATTATAGTAATTATAGAAAAAACATGTTTCCAAATAAATACAAAATATTAAGTAGTTCTTGAAAGTATTAATTATTCATCTCTCTGTSTCTCTCTCTCTCTCTTTTTTATCAATTGGAAACTTACACAATATCATACAGCATATTATTAATACATCATTTGGTATTTAATAGTTATTAATATTTTGAAAACAAAAAATAAAACATTAGCGGCCTTTTTACTTGATAAAAAGAAAAGAGCATTTTTATATCTATATAAATATATATATATATATATACACATACGTATATTATCTGTAATAATTTCGCTACAATATTTGTTCATCCTTTACGATCTTGACACGAATAATGCACGATATCTCCGTTGGGATATCTTGCGAATGCACTATAAAAAAGAATAGATAATATCTTCTTAGATTCATACATTTCGACTGTAGAAAATACAAAATAATACAAACCTTTGATTGCCGAATCGTTTTTTACATGCAGGGCATATATTAAATTCTGTCATAAGAACACTCTGTGACTCATAATGCATACGTTGTTCTTGTACTTGCAAATGTTCCGCATAAAGTAAGCCTTTTAAAACTTGAGTCTTACGTCTTGTATTTAAATTATTTTGAAGACTAACTTCTAAAAAACGTTTTATTCTACCAATCGGTACTGTATCCGGTAGAATTTCTAAAACTTTTAATGGATTTATTTTTGAAGCATGTTCTTCGAGTAAATGCAATGCCATTTCTGGATCCGGTTGTGCACTACGTTGTACATTTGTATTACAACCTGTAATATAATGAAAACATAACAATATATATTTTAATTATTATATATTAAATAATAAATTATCAATAAATAACATACCGGCCATTAGAGCTCCTGCATTGTCAGGTTTTAATAGTTGATTAATAAGCATTACATAAACCTCGTCTGCTCCATCAGATTTTTTTTGTTTATCCGCTTTCTCTTCATCTTTGCAAAATTTGATAATTATTATTTTCAGCTAAATGAAAAGAATATTCTTTTAAATAAGAATCCATGTGTGTACTCACTTTGACATCTTTCATATACGTTATTGCTATATTCTATTGCACCTTGTACATTATTCAAAAGATTAATATATATTGATATAGCTTGTTGATGACGGCCAAGTCTTCCTAAAATAATTGCACGTTCTTCGAATAAACAGTCAAACGGGAAATGCACCAATATTGTCTCTGGTGTATAGTACACGGATTTCTCCAAAAATTGTTGTAATTTCTGTCTTGTATGATGGGATATTTCTTTTTCTGCCGGTGTTGCATTTTCATTCATAGAAATTAGACTTTTTTCCTTATATTGATGTATTAAAACATTGTGAAATAATGGATTTGTATCTTCCCATATATGCACCACATGTTCCAAGTATGTTATAACCAAATCTTTGTGACAACGTAGCAGATAATCCAACACCTTTGGTCTGGGCAATTGCTCGACCTCCTAAAAATAGACAAGAAGTATCAGTAAAAAATATACTAAATAAGTAATACACAGTAACGTACTTGTATATCTTCCATAAATATTCTAAGTCCTTGTTCAGGATCCTCTTCTAAAACCCAACCTGCGAATTTAAGAATTAAATCCATATGATCTTTGCCAAGATGCTGTAAATATTGGATAGTTCTTTCAGTTCCCTTTAAACTAGAATCGTTTTCTTTGGCATGCTTTTCTAATAGCTCTAAAGCCTTTCTATGTTGTCCTTTTGTTTGATATAATATAATAAGTTCTGGATACTTCTGATATATAAGTAATGTCTTTTCAGCTTCTGCCAAATGACAATGATTTAATCTTAGTAAAGACGCTACCAATGCATCGTTCGTCTGTAAAATCATAAAATTTTGTATAGGATTTGAAAAAAATTCTAAACAAATTATGTTTACTTTTTACCTGTAAATAACATTTCAGTAGAGTAGTATCAATTATTTTTAACAATTGCTCAGTAGCTACGGGAGTCAGATTTTTTTCACTTTCCATTACATTTTTATCTTTATGATTATCCTTATCTTTTGTTTTTGTGTCGCTTAATAATTTGTGTCTAACATCTGTTAGAAACATTATTAATGCACATAAACCTTTTTCTAAATCATGGTTTGGAAGTTTTGGTAAGTTCGTTGCTGAAGTGCTGACCTCGTGACTATTACTCGATGGCGTTACTAAGTCAGGAAATAATCTTATCACTTCGTAAGGATCAGTTCTAAGTTCCAAAAATAAATTCATAGCTTCTTGAAATTTTTTTTCATAAAACAAGTGATGCGCATATAGAGTTTGTATTTTGTATGTTTGTTTGGCCTTTTCTTCTTCTATTATATCTGATAAACTCTACAAAAATATAAATATATATTTAAGTAATGTACTACTTTTTAAATTTAATTAAAAAAAAAAAGACATTTAGAATACAATGAATAGAAGATTTACACATACTGTTAATTTCAATGCTAATTGAAATTGATTTTGTTCCAGTAAAGTTCTAATCTGTTGAGTTACATCAACAGCCCTCACACACCATACACTACTCATAGATGCTACAAAGACTTTGCCTTGCCTACATCTACATATAAGTCTAGCTTTATTTAAATCCTTGATCGTTTGAATGTGTAAGCAACCTTCCAAAGTATATACTTCTAATCTGTCATGTACAATACCAAGTAAGTAAGGGTCATCCCAAGCTAAAAAGAAAAAATTGTAAATAATTAAATAATACTCTTTCCTTCTTTAACTCATTGTTCATATCAAATACAAATTTGTACCTATGGCACTTGGAGTATCTGACCATTTAATAGGATTATGCTGCTTCAAATCTCCTTTAGTATCCATGACAATAGAACATAAATCTTTTCCTAATACGAAAGAATTATCTGATAATTTAGTAACACTGGGCTCTGGTGATTTCCCGGTAGGAAACAGTTCCTTAGCTTTTCCATTTAATTCCAAAATAGTATAGGATAAACCACGAAATCCTAATATTAGAATTTCTCCACACCTGCATATAAAATACATTTAAATAATTTCAATAGGTATTTGGTAATATGTTAAGGGATAATAAATAATAATACCATGATAATTCACGTGGTATGTCTGGTACTGTTAATTCAAAATTATCACACTCCTCAAATTTTTTGCCTTTCCAATGATACAGTTGCAATTTACGTTTAACAACAACGCATAAGCGTACAACAGTATTTTTTTCATTCGTTGAACTTTCTTCTTTCTTCACATCTAAAGCGAACAACGTTGCTCCCTTTGTTTTTTGCAACTGACAAATTAATTGGAAATTCAACGAATTGAGATCATGAATAGAAACTATGCCATCTGTACAAAGAGATTAATTATTTGATAACACAGTTAGAACGATTTAAAATCAATGCAGTATTACCTGAAAGTAAAATTAATAAATTATATTCCGCTACAACAGCTATTTGAGTGATGCGCTTTTTAAAATTTTTACTATGGCGTAATAATTCTAACTTATGAGTTTCATCCAATTTAGAAGGAACATTGTACATAAAAATTTGTCCTTCTCTTGTACCAATCAATAAATTGTCATCTGAAATATAAAATATTAAAATCATGCAATGTTCAGATCAAATTTAAACAATATATATGCGGGTATTTAAGCTATATGAAAAATATATGAGAAACAATAAATAAATTGTCATTGTATGTTATGATAAGGTTAGTTTTTACATACCATATGCAAACATAGACTCTATTTGCACTGTTATATTTAATATAGGTGTCTTTTTATATGCTTCATGCATTTTAATTGTATAATAAAGATATATAAAATGTTTATTTAAAAATTCTTTAGAATGTATGTACTTTTACTGTGTCAGTGGTAGTATGTCAGTCAACTATCTTACACGCACATCATTATACACAATAATATTGCATCCAAATAAATTGCACATGTTAAATTAAACAATGTATTTTCGATAAAACAATTGTTTTCATTTAAATACAGTAACAAAATGAAACAAGATTACAATTAAATTCAGAAGTCACTTCTAACCACTTCGAAAAGAAACCAATCAAGTTGCTCATTTTTCACACTGAAGATAGGTACAAACGCATTGTTTGGAAAGTGTGACTTCGATTTAATCATGAATACATGCCTTTCAATGTTTTGACTTATTATAGTTTCTTTTGGCCAAGATAAAATATATTACTCTAAAATAACTATCAATCTTTTAATTTGGCTACACTGATGAAGTAAACAGTATCTAATATTTTGTAATATTACAGTTTTGTAAAAAGACAATTATAACGCGAAAGAAAGAATAAACTATCAAATAAATATGTCAAAAGAAGAGTACGTTCATGGAAACGGAGAGGTAATTAATTATATAAATAAATAAATGAATAATTTATATATTACATAAATTTGTATATATCATAACCACAACGTTTATAATATTTTATTATTTACAAAGGATGTACTTTTGACTAATTTTTTGTATATAATTATAGACTTTCAATTGTGAGGAGTCACCTGCAAAACAAAAATTAAGAGGATGGTTGAATCGACATTTGCGAATTAAAATGACTGATGGTAGAGTACTGACGGGTGCATTTCTTTGCACTGATCGCGATGCTAATGTAATTTTGGGATCATGTATAGAATTTTTATCCGAAGATCTTACAGAAGCAAGAGCACTTGGATTGGTAATGGTACCTGGTCGACATATTGTGACAATCCATTTAGATGTTTGAATATTTCTTTTAAGGATAAATAATACAGTAAAATCATATTTCATTATTTCTATATCTTCCACTTTATATACAATTTATCTTAAATAAAAAAAAATATTTTAATATAATTTTTCTTTCGATAGGAACACTCCTAATTGTTTATATTTTTCAATCTTTATCAGCATTAATTATATATTGCTGTTGTACATAGTTGAATTCTTGTTCTAATTTTTTATTATTATATATTTCTTTGTCCATATTTTTAATTGCATCGTCTATCCTTTGACTAAGGCTAGAACATAAATTATCCATTCCATATGTATAACATATTTCTGTAGCTGAATCTGCCATTTTACGTACAGAATCCATAAAACTAACAAGTTGCTAGGAGAAAAAAAAACGATAACAATTAATTAATATTAAGTGCAAAGTAATTATTAAATAAATTTCAAGCTCTTACCATAAGCATATCTTGTTTTTTTTGTATTTCATCTCTAATTTGAACCATTGCGTCTTCATGCAAATCAATGATGTCACTATTTATAGACTCTTTATGAAGGTTTATTAACTTTGTTAATGATGTCCTGAAAGAAAACTTGTAAATATTATTAATGCATATTAATTATTTAACATTATGTGATCTATAATTATATTCACCTGTACTCTTGACTGGTACTTTCTATTGCTAAAAATGTAATAGTTAAAAGTTCAGAAGCATTGTTAATTGCTTTTAAAGTTGACTGTTTTACCATATAACTATATGTCATAGTTTGTACATCCGGTAATTTTAATTTATTTTCTTTTGTAATTTCTGCATCATTCTGTGACGAGTCATTGGTAAATAATGGAGTCAAGCACTAAATATATAAAAGTATTGATAATATTAAAATATTAAATATTTAATTGTTAATCATTACAATTCAATTAGAAAATAAATAATCTATACCACAACGGGTGATGTTTTCCTGAACAATAATTTACAAATTGAACGCAATGCATTTTTTGTTGAATTTATATTCATTTTTATCGACTTATAAATAATGTTTGTCTATCAAAATTTTATGAAATTTAAGGTTATGTACCTATAGGAAAACTATTGAAAACAATGAAGTTCGTTCTTCCAGTGATTTAAATACAAGCCTACCACCGGCTAGGAATTTCTAAACAGTTTGTTCCCTGGAATTGATTTCAAATAATGCAGTAAAAATAGGTGGAGTGTATTTAAAAGAATCTGTAGAGGGTTTCTCTATAGTAAAGATAATATTAGACTGAATTTTGTTTTATGATTTTTATTTAACGGATGCGACTTGCTTTTCTTTCTTGTACACTTCTCAACGGTTACGCACAGACTGTACTCGTCTGGTGACCACACTTGCTAGCGTGGTTCCCTAGCCTTCTAGTAACTTAGATGGCGCGACCATCGGTCGTACCGCTACAAATCGTTAAATCAGGTATTAGATTTCTCTTCTTCATTATTTGTTGTTTCAAGTTAGTAACATTTTTGGTTATTATTTTTAGTCCTTGTTGACATGTCATTTTAGGTTAGTTATCGCTTCTCAGAGTAAACTTTTACGTCGAGTAAACAAGAATTAACAAAAATGACGTCCTGCCTAGAAAATGTACAAATTCCAACGTGCATGTGGTTTGAAGGAGTTGAAAAACGAAATGCATTAGTATCGATATTGGCTAGCACATTGGTAATATTAATCATTTTTAATTATTACTAAAAATATAATTTTTTTTTTTTTTAATTAGACGTCATATATATATTTTCAATCGTATAATACCAATTCATGTAGCATTGATTATCCATTTATTATTCATGAAACATTGTTGCAGTTTTTTGCAGGATGGTGGATTATAATAGATGCTCATGCAAAATATCCCGCAGAGATGGTAACCGCATATCATGTCTGTGGAGTATTTGGTACATTATCTCTATTTATGTAAGTTTCATGTAATTGATTAAGACTAATGAAACAATAGATCTATTTTTATAAAGTAATACATGCAAACAATTATTGTCCAAATTTAAACTAAATTTGTTATTAAAAATAAATTATTTTTAATACAGGGTCAACTCAGTATCAAACGCTCAAATAAGAGGAGATGATTATAATGGTGGGCGCTTAGGAGTCAGAGGAGCCAGAAGTTGGTTATTCGTGGGCTTTGTCATAGGCTTTGCAGCAGTTATTGCAGCCTGTTGGATCTTATTTGCAGACTTTGTAGCTCTAAGTAAGTAATGATAGAAACAAATTTATAATAATATCTAAAAAAAAAAATATGACATTTTAGGTGCTCAGCATTACTGGCCCGGAATAGGATTATTTTTACAAAATGTATTTATATTTTTGGGATCTATGACATTTAAGTTTGGCCGAACTGAAGATCAGTATTAACGGAGACATTTTGGTAAACCTATACAAAAGTTTCACAAAGGATTGCTTTTAATTATTAATATATTATGATTTTCAAAATGTGCTAGCACATTATAAATATTTCAACTTTATTTGGATCGATGGAAATCTCAAATATTCAGCTGATCATACAAGTGCAAGGATAAAGGATTATTTGGTTTTTGATCTTGCATAAAACTTACATGTAGATGTGTATGGTAATAATACTATTAATAATTCATACCTTGAAAATTGCAATCCAAAGATATTGTAAAAATGATTTAAATGTGGATGCGATGATCTTAATGCTTCATATGATATTTAAGTGAATATAAAAATGTTAATAATCTCTATTTATAAATAATTACATTAAAGTACATACAGTAGTAGTAATTTCCTTATATCTATGAAGTTACTAATAATTACGTGTAAAGAAATATTCTGATAGATTTTTGTAATCGTTTTAATAATATAAGAAGTGTATTATATATACTTGTGAAACATAAGATATAATTACTTTCAGTGTTGTGAAAGATATTTTTTATCCATTCTGTCCAGTCTTTTCTGAATTTTATATATTAATATCTATTAATTTGTTTGGAATTCTTTTCGAATATTTGCTTATTTTAACAAAGATTTTATTAATTTTAATTTTATTTTACATAAACAATATATATATATAATCATCTATTTCTTTTTCCTTATTTTCATCGTTTTGATATGCAATAAATATTGCAATAATTACAAAATAATAAGAGAAAAAAATACGATAATTCGTTCGCGATTGCTTAACATTTTATATTGTATATCTGATTAAACGTCATTTTTTGTCAGTCCTAATCAATTTTGATTTGCCAACGCGGCCCAATAAAATATCACCTTTAAAGAATCCGCAACCAATGATATTATGCCACACAAACACATGGTTCATAGAGATATCACGAAAGTCGTGAGTGAGTTCTGTTTTTTGATAGTTCAAAACGTTTGTTGTTAACTAGCATTGTAATGTTAACAATATTTGTGCGTTCCTAATGATATAAAAATAACATTTATTCTTTTTTATATGAAATTTTCGGAATAAAAGAAGTGAAAGGTAAAGTAATAAGTTTTGATACGTAATATTTCTAGTTGGGATAACTGTTAAAGCCTGCCGGTAGTCATAACCACATTTAATAGCAAAGTAATTTTCCTCGTGTTCGTGTGTGTCGGTACCGTTGAAAATAATTATTTAATAATTGTTTCGTTTTTATATTAAATAGATGGAAACCACGTGTGTTAAAATGTCAGCGATAACGCTATTTGTAGCCGTAATCGCTGCTTTAATCGGTCAAAGTGAAGAAATAGCTGTCATGAGCATTGACATTGGTAGCGAATGGATGAAAGTTGCAATAGTTTCTGTACGTAAAATTTATTTAATTGTTAATAATTATAATATTAATAATTAAGCTTTTATATATATATATATGTGTGTGTGTGTGTGTGTGTGTGTTGAAATTGAATAATAAAATTATTCCAAAATGTTTTTGTAGCCAGGTGTACCTATGGAAATAGCTTTGAATAAGGAGTCAAAAAGAAAAACTCCAGCTACAATAGCATTTCGAGATGGAGAACGGACATTTGGCGAAGATGCGCAAGTTGTAGGACTTAGATTTCCACAAAGCACTTTCTCTTACATATTAGATCTTCTAGGAAAATCTATAGATAATCCAATGGTTAAACTTTATTCCAAGAGATTTCCTTATCATGATATTATAGCTGATGATGAACGTCAAACAATAGCATTTAAAATTTATGAAAATATCACCCATACACCAGAGGAATTACTCGCACAGATACTTCATAAAGGAAAAGAATTTGCAGAATTTTCAGCTGGACAAAAAGTTAATGAAGCGGTGATCACTGTACCAGGATATTTCAATCAAGCTGAAAGAAGAGCTCTGTTGCAAGCAGCTGAACTTGCGAAAATCAAAGTATTGCAACTTATCAATGATTATACCGCAGTTGCATTGAATTATGGTATATTTCGTAGAAAAGAAATTAATGACTCTGTGCAATATGTAATGTTTTATGATATGGGTGCTAGCAGTACAACGGCAACCGTAGTCAGTTATCAAAATGTTAAGACGAAGGAAAAAGGATTTGTCGAAACTAATCCACATGTTAACATATTGGGTGTAGGATACGATCGCACCCTTGGAGGATTAGAAATGCAAATCAGATTACAAAACTATTTGGCTAAAGAGTTTGATGCTTTAAATAAAACTCCTAATTCCGTGTTCAATAGTCCAAGAGCAATGGCAAAACTCTTTAAAGAGGCTGGACGTGTTAAAAATGTGCTTAGCGCCAATGCTGATCATTATGCTCAAATCGAAGGTCTGATAGATGATTATGATTTTCGATTACAAGTTACCAGAGAAACTTTCGAAAGTATTTGCTCCGATTTATTTGAACGTGTCTCAAATCCTGTCAAAATTGCCCTAGAAACTTCAGGTAAATTTTCTAAATACATGAGAGAGCTTTGACTAACAAATACAACAACAAATTTATTAATTAATATTATTTTAGCTTTAACGATGGATGTAATATCTCAAGTAATATTGGTGGGAGCTGGTACACGTATGCCAAAAATTCAAGAAAAATTGATGGAATACGTCAAAACAGATTTATCCAAAAACATGAATACCGATGAATCTGCTGCATTAGGTGCTGTTTATAAAGCGGCAGATCTTAGTCAAGGTTTTAAAGTCAAAAAGTTTATAACAAAAGATGCTGTTATATTTCCTATTCAAATTGTATTTGATAGAAATGCAGATGGCAAAATAAAACAGGTAACAATTATTCATTTACATGCCAGTTCTATGCTCAATCATGAATATTGAAATTAAATTATAATATTACACATACATTGTCTACAGGTTAGAAGAACTCTTTTTAATAAGATGAATGCTTATCCGCAAAAAAAGATAATTACATTTAACAAACACAATGAAGATTTCGAATTTCACGTAAACTATGCAGAACTAGATCATTTGCCTGTTAATGAAATAGAGTAAGTACATTGTTGTTGTTCTGAATTAATCGTCATTTAATTATAATGCATATTATTAAAGGAAAAATTTGTATTTACAGTGCCATTGGAAATTTGAATTTATCAACTATAAAATTGACAGGTGTGGCTGAAGCTTTAGAAAAGCATTCTAAAGAAGGAGCCGAAAGTAAAGGGATAAAAGCTCATTTTAACTTGGATGACAGCGGTTTACTTAATTTAATAAATATAGAATTGGTGTCAGAAAAAACAGGAAGCACCACTGAGGAAGAAGAGGGTACATTTTCAATGCTTGGTTCAACTATTAGTAAATTATTTGCAGGTCTGTGTTAAGGACTTTGCAAAAAAATGATGATAAAAACATTCAAAAACTTAAGTTTCCCATATTTACCTACATACTACACTACAGGTTCAGATAATAAGGAAAAAGATGAAAATACCGAAGAACCACCAAAAGAAAATATTAAGCCAGTGCACGAAGAGCCTGAATATCCAGATCCTCAGAAAGAAAGTGAAGATAAATCTCAGAGTAAAAATCAGACCAAATTGAATGAAGGCAAGGCAGGAAATAAGACAGAGAAATCTGAGAAGGAAAAGAAACCTGTTATTGTAACGATTAAAGAACCAATTAAAGCCGAAGAAATTATATTAGGTTCAAAGACATTGGATGAGAAGAAATTTTCTGAATCGGCTGAGAAGTAAGTATCATTCAAATCACTAATAATTCCATAATTTAATAATAATAAAATATATTATTTGTATCCACACATTTATATTTGTATTTATTTGGACAGAATCCATCATCTTGATCAACATGATCGAGAAAAAACACGACGTGAAACAGCTTTAAATAATCTTGAAGCATTTGTGATTGATGCACAACAAAAATTAGAAACGGAATTGTATATAGCTGCAGCAACGTCTGGAGAAGCGGAGAAAATATTAAAAGCTTGCGCAGAAATTTCAGAATGGTTATATGAAGATGGATTTGATGCAACCGCAGAAATATATGAGGAAAAATTAATGAAATTACAAAAGTTGACAAGTGACGTATACGAAAGAGTTTTTGAACATAAAGAACGGCCAGAAGTGTTGAAAGGATTGGTGTCTATGTTAAATGGAAGTTCAATGTTTTTGCGAAATATGCGTAATATAAGTCAAAGTAATGATATGTTTACACAAGTAGAAATTGAAACATTGGAAAAAGTTATCAACGAAACAAAGGTATGTGTAATCGCAATAATATGTATATTTATATTTTACGAATTTATGTAATGTAATTATTTCATTTATCTAGGAATATCATGATACAATCGTTAAATCGTTTGCTGAAACACCTTTATACGAACCGATAAAATATAAAGTTCGTGATATTGCAAACAAAATGGCACTACTTGATAGAGAAGTTAAATATCTTGTAAATAAAGCTAAAATTTGGAGACCAAAACCAGAAACAACGAATAATACGGAAAATAAAACTGATCAAGCAACAAATGGAACGCAATTGCCGAATGTAGAATCGACATCGGTTCCTAATACTGATCCTGATACTCAGTCAGAACAATCTAATCAGGAAAATATAGAAGAGGTAGGAGATAAAAAATTAGAAAATATAGTGAAAACAAATACGACAGATGCAACGGAGGATACATTAAATTTACCAGAGAATGATCATTCGAAAACGAATAATGAACAAAATGAAGAAGATGAAAAACATCAAGAACTTTAAAATATAATTTATTTTCAATGTGTGACGTTTCATTAATGATCGAGCACATATCGATCAGCAACTTAGGCGAATCACCACTGTGTAGGACAATTTTACGAATGTATTTAACAAATCAAATACGAATATTTACTGCGGCATCTATAGAAATTATTTCATATAATTCGAAAATATTTTCCATCATTTAATTATTTATATGAATTCATAAAAAAATGATGGTAATTAATTCGTTATATTATTATGATGCGTAATCAAATGCAGCACTGTCAAGCACAAAAAGACATTACACTATTACCGAACATTTGTTATCAAGTGCCAAGTCCTAAGCTGGCTTTAGAGCTAATTCATTTATCTTTTTTTTCTCAATTCATCAATTTAATAATTATCAAATTATTATATTAAATAATTTTTTAATAATATTTAAATTATTAAATTGAATATATTTAAAAAGATCAAACGAATAGCTGCATGTTCAACAATTTATTGCATTTGTTTTGTAATTATAAAGCAAATATGATAAAACGATTTGTAACAAAATGTTAAATAAAGTGTTCTAATGATGTGTGCGAGTGCGTGGGCCGGCCATCGTCTTATGCAGGTAACTAATTGGTTCTATCGCATATATACGAATAAACACACAGATATTTGTGTGCGTATATATTTATATAATATATAAAGAGGAGAGTGGGGAGAGGGGAAGAAAGGGGGAGGTGTTCATGCTCCAAGGTATTAATTTGTGATACGAGATAACATGTATGCATTATTTTAGAAATAATTTTGTACCTAACTTATCTTCTACAATAATATAATAGTATTTCAATGAATGGTGGCACAAGAATGTTTTAAAAAAAATGTTTTAACTGAAAATACAAAAACTGGATTAAAAATTTATTATCAATTTTAGAAAGTTACTATGCATTATATATATTTTCCAAAAAATCAACATTTCAATATATTACTCTATAGTTAGGATGTATTATTTGTTATACTCGTATAATGAATTCCTACAATTTTGAAACAACTTTGCTTATCAATAATAATTTAACTACAAATGAATATGACGTATAAACAACATATTAAAAAAGTTATTTAATATCTTATTATAAAAAAATGTTTACTATTTTAATGGATATGCATGTAGTTTCAAATACTGATGATTATATTTATTAATTTATGCAAATAAAATTGTGAAAAAAAAAAATATATATATATATATATATAAAAATGGAATGAAACGACGAGAAATATATGATAAATTTTTCATAATTTTATTTTTTTTTTCTATCTTTAACAATTAGTAATTATTTGTTGTATCGATTAAAGTATCTTCGTAAAGTTGTACCATAGGCCTGGTAATGGAAAATCAATCGCGTTGAGCTACATACGGCAGTATTGTATATCATTTATAAGTGATGATTATCTATGAAAATTGATTTAATAGAAAAATTCTGTTCAAATCTGTTTGACCTCACCACTGCAATTTGGACAACAACTAATGTTAGATGCCTCGCGTGGAATAAAAATTTGCCCACCAATGGCAACGGCTGCACCCATTACCGCGCTACAAGCAGCATCTTGTCTTCCTGACATAAGTAGATTTGGACTCATTAATAGCTGTAAATGTAACCAGTTTTAAATTCATTTTTACAAAATAGTTTTCCTTTGTTGATTCTTGGAGATTATCTGAAAAAAAAAAAAACAAAAACTAACTTGTTCCGCATTTTTTTCCGCTAACGTTTGCATTTCTAAACCAGTTATATTGACATCTTTGTTCGTTATTGTATGCAACATGCCACTTAATAATTGAACTTTTAAGATTTCTGCTAATTGACAACAGCCTTGTGCCAAATCTATAACATTTGTACTTGGTAGTGCATGACGTTTGTACGATGCTGCTCGAACAGGATCAAAATTTTCTAAGAGAATGCTAATAATCCTAAAACGAAATATATTGATATTGAATAGATAGATGTTATGGAATAATCGATAACAGATATTGTTTATATTTAAATAGCATACCTGTACGTTTTAAGAGACGTATCACGTATACTTTTACGCTCTTCTAATAATCTTTTGATAGCTTCTTGAAGATCGGTTGTTCTTTGACAAAGGGCAGCTTTCCATTTTGCAAGTTCCTCTACCATCAAACTATTACAAATCATTTAGTCGTTAATAATATTTCTTATCCAAATAATTCTTTTGATACTTATTATTGTTGACCTAATGTTAATTACCTACTAGCTAAAAATTTACTTCTCCAAACTTCGCATTGTCCTGCTAACCACTCTGTTTGTTCTTGATGAGTATTAAGATGTTGAGCAGAATTTAAAAGTGCTCGAGCAAGTTGTAGCTTATCTTCAGTAAGCAAGTGTACTTTAGTTTCCAGATCTTCGCCCACTGCTGCTACTAGCAGATTCTTTAATTCGCCATTTACCTACATAATAATGTAACATATAATTGAAATAATGAAAACTAATTATTACTGTAAAATATCTTATTATTATTATACTTGTGCTTGAAATTTTAATTGGTTTTCTAATTGACTATTTTCTTCTTTGAGTTTTTTAATTTCATTTTCGTAAATTTTCTTTTCCTTATCCCAATTGGATTGTTCCTTGTCAACTTTTTCATTGATTCTATCTTTGTCGACATTTGCATCGTGTATTTTCAATTTAGCAACATCAGTAGCTGCTACATTAATATTTGTATCCCATTTGGAATGTTTCTTATTCTTTTTCTCAGGCGGAACGATAGGATTAACTGCTGCTTTGTATGGTTCGTAAGGTACAAATTTGGGCTCCTTTGTTTTTAAGGAATTTAAAATTTGTCTTTTACCCTTTGGAACTGTAATATTTTTTGGAGTAAGATTGACAATAGTACCAGTAGGAATAACTGGAGGTGTCAAAACAGATGACTTTAAACTCTTGGGGTAATAAATAGTAGTATCGTTTAAACGACATTTGGTTTGTTTAGATTCATGTTCATTCGTAATTACATTTTCCATTCCATCTCCTTGCGTACGTCCAATGCAATCCATAACCTGAACATCTTCAACAATTGTATAATTATTATTAAAACGTCAAATGTGCCAAATAGACATATAGACTACAAAAATATGTATCATTTAAAAACCACTTTTTAACCTTTTGATTTCAATTGACAGCTACTTTTACGGTTTTCTCCGACACCAGCCATATTTATCAATTCACAAATTTAATAAATATTAATAAAACCTTCTTAATTAACCTAATCATCTGTTAAACATTGTACACAAATTCTATTCTTTTATATCGTAATATATTCGTTGAGTATTCATTCCCATGATTCATTCATTAAAAAAATATCGCAATCGAGGCTAGGATCGAGATATGCGATTTATCGAAATATCAATGATCGCATTTTAAATTGACGCGTGTACGAAACACAATGTTGTTTTATAAATATTATTATAAAATATGAAACGTTAATAAGAAATATTATATACAAAAAAAACACATATATAATTATAAATACATAAATATGACAAATACAAAGGAAACAAATGATAAACATGAAAAATTAAAAAGTAAACAACATTTTAGAAAGGTATGACAGAATGATAGATATATTTACATTGTCATTTACCTACTAACAAGTAATGTATATCAATGTTAATTTAAAGTGAATAATACTTTAGAACTATCTAATTATAAAAATAATATTAAACATTTGTAGAAAGAGAAAAATATTGTTGCCAAAGTGGATAACAAACCACCTAAATTTAACATAGATGTTTATTATAAGTTAGTTCGTTTAGAAAACGACACCAGGAGGGTCCGAGAATTGGATAAACAAAATATGGATTTGTTGAGATCTTTAAACGTTATCACCAGACGTAGAGTAATTATCTTTTCATCTTTTCGAGAAATAATAATTAAGTTATATTGAATTCTAATAAAAGAAAAAAAAACACTGTTGTAGGGTTCCATTGATTGCTGGCTACAAAAAGTTAAATATAAAAGTAAATTAGAAAATCAACATTTGGAGAATAAAAAAATTATGAAAGAGAATATAGAATTGCTTAAAAAAATAAATGAAATATCAAGCCAATATGCTGCAGCAGATTTGATAAAAGATTGGAAATATTTAAAAGCAAAATTAGAAATTGGAAAAAAAAGGTACATTTAAAATACGTTTAACACATTATGCATATAATAATAAATTATTAAAATGTTTATATTTATATTTATATTGTTAAAACAGGAGAGTAGAAAAATTGAAAAAAATTGTTGTAGCTCCAGGTATGAAGAAGGATGATTATTGTATGCTCAGTGATTCTGCATTACTTCATACCTTAAATCCATCAATTAGAAATAGATGCTTTTTGGAAATCAAAGATCAACAGAGCGAAGAAATTTTGGGAACCATTGTAATTGAACTTTATACAGATATCGTGCCTAAAACATGTGCTAATTTCGAAGCTTTCTGTATGGGAGTAAATGGATTATCTTATAGGTGATCTAAATATTGAAATAGTTGATTTTTTTTTTTTATCTACTTTATAATTGAGATATATTTGTTTGCAGAAACACTCCATTTCATCGTATTGTTCCGGGGTATTGGTGTCAAGGTGGAGACGTAGTCAAATTTAATGGTATTGGTGGTACATCCATATATGGAGATAGTTTCAAGGATGAAAATTTTCATTTGCGTCATGCTGGTCCTGGTATACTTTCTATGCATAAAGCTAATGATATGCAAGAAAATAATTCTAAATTTAATCTAACATTTAAAACATTGAAAACAATGAATGGTAAACGAGTAGTATTTGGAAAAATTGTGAAAAATCTTGCTGTGATCTATAAGGTGCTAATATTTCATCTCAAACTATGTAAATGTTGCAGTCAATTATATGAACTTTTTTTTATTAGATTGAAGAATGTGGGTCAAAATCTGGCAAACCAATAAGATCTATCGTCATATCGAATTGTGGAATCCTTTCATCGAGAAGTAATGTTTCTAAATAACAAAAACGATTTAGTGGTATGTCAATATTTATTTTTTAATAATTAGTATAACGTAGTTCAATATATAACAAATTTAATATCTGTAGTTTCATAAGGCACCTTAATGCAAAGATTACAAATTTAAGATAAGAAAATATTTAGAAAATATTATAAAAGCATCTTTACTTTTATCCATTTGATATGAAATATTAAGCTGGTATCCTTTTGGGATTTGAGTCGTACATACGTCGCATACGTTTCTTCAATTCTTGAGGAAATTTATCATAACATTTCTTGCATGCAGGCTTCAAATCAAATTCAAAGAATTTCGTTTTTTGATTCATCTTTTGATCACAAAAGGCACATGCAAAGTGATGAACACACCATGCCTTGTTCAAGGCAGTAAACACTGAAAATATATTACAGATATGAGATTTAGTAGATTTCAATATTTTTCTTTAAGTTTTAACTCCAAATATCTAATGTCATACTTACCATCACCAGCAATTACTTGATTGCACACGAAGCAAAGATTTCCAAATAGTTGATGATAATGCGTTTCGCAATAAGCAAGACCTTTTTTCTCATAATGACGATGTCCAAGGAATGGCTTTTCACATTTTGCACATACAAAATGTTCTACGTGCCAGTGTTTTCCTAAAGCAGTTACAACACGTTCTTCTATAGGTCGATGACAAGCACCACAAATAGGAATACCCATTTTATCATGGCATCTCAAACAATATAATTCATTCTACAAATAAAAGTGTGTAATAAGTGTTAACACATAATATATAGACATTATTATTGAATGAAACTATTGATTATCTTACCATTTCATTGGCAGCATAACCTGGTCTGGAACGAACTTCTCTTGCATCTGAATTAAGTTCTATTCCACATGCAGTGCAATTAAAATGATATGGGTGATAAACTTCACCACGGAAACGCAATGGTTTATCATCAATAACCCCGCTATTTAACGAATGAACAGCATATTATATTCATTTCATTTTCATATTCATTTTGAAATAAATAAATAAATAAATAGAAGACATACTGGCACTGATGACAAATATGTTTCCCAAGAGCACCAGCTTTTACACGAGCATTACAGGTATGACAAAGAGCTCTACCTTGGCATTTAATAAAACCTGCATCTGCTAATTCTCCATTACATTCTTCGCATCGAAAACATGCTGGATGCCAGTTTGCGTTCATTGCTTTTATTACTCTACCAATGACGAATTCTCCTACAAAGATATTTATATTGTTATACCAGCTCTAAAGACATTTTGATATGTTTTGAAAGAAAGTATAAAAAGAAACAATACCACATTTGCCACAGCATGGTGCAAATAAAACATGAAAGTCATGTTCGCAATACTTGTAGCCTTCAAATTCATAAAAGATTCCATCTGGGAATGGTCGAAAACATTGTGCGCATCTATAATGTAACAATAGAAAAAAATCAATATTGTTATCATACACAACAGGGATGTTGTTAATCATACATCATTTTGATTCTCTATGTAACTAACACGAAACATTGTGGATGCCATAATTCGCCTCGAGAATTAACTATCTTTTCGTGTGCCACAAAGCCCTCTCTGCATCGAGAACAGAACATATGATCCAGCGACATTCCTGTAACACTACAAACAAATCTCACTTATTTACAATCACTATATTTTCAGGATAGGTAGATAAATTGTTTACAAACTGAAACAAAAGTTGATCCAAGATTGTTAGGATGAATATACCTGCTTGATTGAAAGAAAGGATGAGATGAACATTTAATGGTCACCAGAAGTCTACAGAAATGTTGTTCTAAGATATGACAATAATGCTTACCCCGGCATATTTTAATGATGATAGTTAATTATATTTCAGTGCAATTTTATCAATCAGTTCTTTAGTTTCATGCACGCTTAATTAAAGACGATATCGCTAGGACTTTGCAATACTCGCCAAGGCAAATTTACTAAAAGCAACGTACTATGTAAGAATAATGACATCACCTGTCAGTCACCATATACATTGTCCGATCACATATATTTATCGTGGAGAGTATTTATAAAGCTTACATTTATGAAATTCAGTATATACCTATATAGCAAGGATGATGTTTACGTCATGCATTCACCTTCTCCATATCAATTTATTTTTTTTTTTTCCTACTTGGATATGAACCAATCAAATTGTAGAAATATGACTCTGCCCTTATTAGAGGAAGGGGCGTAATACTACATGATCTAATGTTCACTCCTTAAATGCTTTTTTCCATCTAATGCACTGAAAGAATAATTCATTTTTGGTTACATTAAAACACATGTATTACATTTGATAAATGATCGATTACATATGCTCGAAATTTGTGCTCATAATTTTATTCTTAATTCAATTTTTCATTTGATGTAATTAGCACTGCTGTGTTATACATTTTTCATGAATAATCTAGCCAATCACAGTTTCGATTAGCAATGGTGCCATCTGGTGTTGTAACAAATTGATAAAAAAACTTCAAATTAGCCATTAAAAATAACAGTATTTTAATGTGAGAAAAATATTAAAATTTAAATTATTAATTAATTATTTATTCAGTATAATAATATTAATATTAATTGTATCTACATTTTGATGACAAAAGTTTTAAAAATATAATTATAACTAATTGAAATGTTTTACATTTTTTTTTGTCGAGGTTTAACAGAAGAGGAAATTTTTCAGATGTAGAGAGAGGTAATTTGATTATTTAGAATTACAATATTTTTTTGGGGAGCTTTGAAAAAGTACTCGACAAGCACCATTTTTTCTTTTCGAGGAATAATGATAAAAAATAATACAGCTGGCGGTATTTTGTCAACATTACCACATCCCGGAAAAGATAAATGAATCATTTAGCTCTTTTTCTTGTGACATATATTTTTATTTTAATATATTATTTTACTTTTTTATACGTCACATTTATTTACACACTTCATTGGTCAACGATTGCATTTCCGCAGGCATAGAATTCTTATATTGTTTATATTTATTTGCAAGTAAATGAGATATTATACCAGATCCGAGAGCATCGGAAATAATATTTATAGTTGTCCTGAATCGATCCCTATAAAATATATTATGGGAATCCAAATATTAGTTGTTCAAATATAATCAATGTAATTGAGAGAGATGTACTTACACAAAACAATCAATAGCAATAATTAAAGCAATATCATCTACTGGAACTCCAATAGAATTTAATACCATTATTAACATCATATAGCCACCACTAGGTAATCCAGCTGCACCGATGCATGAAAAGGTGCACGTAATACTAAGATCAAATATTATTATTTTTTAAATATATTTTCTTCAGTACAAATTTGAATCTTTTCTCACTAACCTGACAACTATTATTTTAAATAAAGAAAAATGTAATCCTCGCATTTGAATGATAAATATTGCTCCAACAGTTTCATACAATGCTATTCCATCCATATTTATTGTAGCACCTATTGGTACAATAAATTTCAGTACTGCAGAATCTATTCCAATTTCTTCTAAGCACTTTATTGTTACAGGAACAGTTGCTGTACTTGATTTTATCGTATTATTTGTATTTGTATTTAGTAAATACGTATGTAATAGAATACAGAATACTATATATGTACCTCGATGATGTTCCAAATGCTGTTGCAAAGGCAGGACCTAGTTTCATGATAATTTTATACGGAGATTTACGTGTCATTAGAAAATACAATGTTGGTAATATTAATAGTCCTTGTAATATTAAGCCGATAAAAACAGTTAATATATATACACCCAATTGTTTAAACATTAAACTGAAATCTTGCATCTCTAGAATTCTACCAGAGATGAGAAAAAATGCGCCAATTGGTGCCATCCTATGTACAAAATATTATCTTTCATTAAATATTAATAAGGCTTAACGTAAGAATTAATATAAGTTTAAATAAATTCATTTTGTACATAATTATCCCGTGCATAATATTCATCATTGCTTGAGAAAAAGAATCAATAATATTTAACAAGGATCTGTTTTCTTCGCCCAATTTATTAGCTGCTATACCTAGTAGTAAACTAAAAAATACCAAACCAATTACGTTCGTGCCTGGTATATCGTGATAATTTATAATCCATTCATCTATCGGTACTGTAATATAAATCATTTTCTAATATTTCTAAAGTATAAATATGAAATAATAATTATTATTATTAGAAAAAAAAAGCTACATATAAATATACCTTCAGTTGTATTTTGTGGTTCTTCCAAAACTGTTTGATATTGTTTGAAACACGCTTTAATTAAATTGTCCGATATTAAATTACTGAAATATGATTTTGTAATGAAGGAACGTACACGATATAATCTTAACATTAATTTTCATAACTTAACAATAAATACCGAACTAAGTCTAAAAGTATATCAATTGTCATAAAAGATTTAGTTGTTGAATTTGATGTAAGATTTTCATTGTTAAGTAATTTTCCTGGTCTTATATTTTGTGTCAATACAACACTTAGAATAATTCCTATTGACGTTGTCATAGAGTAATAACAGAGTGCCATTAGTCCAATAGGTCCTATAAACTTCTTACATTTAACGTACCAAGTTTATGTATTCAAGTTAAATGATATATTCTCTTCTTCTAATATTTACCTGACTTGCTTAAATTGCAGACTGCACTTATAACAGTAGACACTACCAAAGGTAGTATTATACTATTAGTCATGTTCATAAATATTTCGCCAGGAAATTTGATATACATTATGTTTCTTCCAGACCATGGTTGTGGAGTTAAATATTTTAAAGCTAATCCAAATATAATACCACTGCTTACACCAAGAGAAGTAGCAATTATTATTTTATGCTTCATAACGTATAATAAGTTTCACTTAAAAGGAAGTTAACTCCTATTACTTGATAAGATACGACAGGCTAACGCTGCTTAACGAACATCAACGTTTCTGCAATGATATGTACATCCAAAGAGAAAACGTGAGATGAATTTTCAAGTGTGTACAGAAGATAAAGCTCTTATCTGATAGAAAGATCTATTATATATATATATATAACAGCATCTTTTGTAAGATTGAAACTAATCACAGTTTTGTCGTTTATAATTTATGGATAACGATTTACAAATTAATACAATTAGAAGTTTATTTTTTATTTATTTTGCGCACCTAATACAGTATAAATACAATAAATATGATCGTGCACAATACATAAAGGATGTGTTGTATTTACACATACTTTTAATTTCCAGGCCATATTTTACGTATTTTTTTAATTGTGTAACATATCATCCTTTTCTATATTTCAAATATTATTTATACATATCTTTACAATTCTGCATTGTTTTTATATTTTATCCATTAAAACATCACATATGCGTTTTATTCGCATCCAGTCTTCTGAAGAAAATCTCAATATCTAACCATCCTTTAAAATTATGATTCTAAAGATTTATAAGATTTCAATAATAGATGTATGTATATATTTATAATTATAACTATATATAACTGATGTGTAACTATCAGTGAGATCAGTAAAGAAATTTATTAACGTTACATTTATATATACAAAATCATGATAAGTTTACATACCTAGGACTACATACTTCACTATGCAGTTTTATATTTGGTTTTGTGTACTATGCAACGTTTTATACGCTTTGCATTAAATTAAACATTTCTCGACTTTCCTTCACTTTTTTATTTGAGGTAATTTGATTTTGCTCAAATAAAAGGAGAAAAATTTATGTATTGACTTTTTCTTCTTGGTAATAAGAATGCGCCACCCATAGTAACGATTTGTAGAGTTCCTCTGAGGTGTAGTTTTGTGTGCAACCTATTTGAAAAACGTTTGCATCGGTAATCTTTTATTTTTTTGTTTGTTTGTTTGATTAGTGTATCGTGTCATCTAATTCTGATACCACTTCCATTGAATGTTTATGAAGTGTTATGACTGAAGAGAGATAGATAGAGAGTACAATATAAATACCTTTCCCTACAAAGGAGTTTCTTTACGAGCTTCTGCCTTCCATTGAAATCCATTTACACGCGTAGTGATTGGTTTATTTCTATTCGTTGCATTTTCAATTCCATTTCTAACGCCTGCTACTAATCTCATGGCTGGATTGGAAACTAAACCGTTGCGCTTTGGCTTTATATTACTTATACTAGGAAGATATGATATCAATGTAGTAGATATATATATATATAGATATGTGTTTGACGAGATTGAATAGAATGAATAGGAAGTGTTGGCTTACCTTCCAGGTGTATGTTCAGTCGTATGTTTAACGTTTCTACCAACGCCGGCTCCACTGTTTCCGAGTATAATTCTCATGTGAGTATCACGAGTAAAGTGCGTATCAGCACAAGTTCTTTTCTCCTCGATACTATTTTTCTTATCCTTTCCGCTGATATTTAAACCTAACATTTCGTTCGTTAATTCGAACGGTTTAGTTATATCATTTTTATCGATAATTTCTGTTTTTATATTGATTGGTTCATAAATTGCAGGCGTATGATGATTATATGCACCAATTTGAGATTTGTACGGTAGATTTTGATTTCCTGTTAATAACGATACACCGAGTTGACTCTGTATTACGTTAGCCGCTATTTGTGCACTAGGTGGACTCGTGTTTGTGGGGGAGTAAGGTATAAGGCTGTCGCTTAAGGGTGAATGAGGTGGTGACGCGTAAATTGGACTTTGTGGTTCACTTTTTAAGGGTGACAATAATTTGCTCAGTGGTCGACTCTTTGCTCCTCTTGAACATTGCTGAAGTTGCTGGGTGAAAGATAGTGGCGTCTAAAATTATAAACATAGCATCATATTTTTTTCCTGTATTCGCTTGTTGTATTTTTGATCATTTTGTTGGAAGTGGTATCAATTTTGTGTTCTCCGTGTCCACCGATTGATACTTTTATCTATTTATTATTTACCTTAATCACTTGATTAGCCATAGAGTTTTGATTGAATTTTCCTTGATCGCTTTTAGTGCTTCCAGTCAAATTGCTGCTCGATTTGCTGTTGCTCGAATTATTTCCCAAAGAAACGCAACTTCTTCTTTTGGTAGAATCTGGTGATTCCGCGGGACTATATTGCGTTGAGAGAGGATTTAATATTGCCGAGGAAGGTTTCGTTTCGGCGGTCGAATTAGACGTTATAGAAGTAGCACTGCTGCTACCACCACCACCTAAAATAAMAAGTATTTTGATTGTTACAAAGTTACAAAGGTACGATTATTCGTTCTAACAAACCTCCATTGATCGTTGGTTTTAAGCTTCGTTGGTTTGCAGCGTGTTCTTCGAGTAATCTTACTACCGTGTCATGACCGCTTTTAGCTGCAACTTTGATCGCATTTCTACCACAGTGGTCCGAATGACTTGGGTCAGCACCATGATTCAAAAGAGCTCGAACGCAATGTTCGTGTCCTTCTTGTGCGGCAATACCTATGCGAGTGCATAAGAATAATTGATGTTACTGTTTTCAAACGCATAAGACGCATAAGAAATAGATTTGACGTTCGAGCGCACCTAAAGCCGTTGCACCTTGATTGCAAGTATGATCGGGTGTTGCCCCGTGTTCCAATAGTAGTCTGACGATCGCTGCATGTCCCTGCCACGCTGCAGAGTGAAGAGGCGTTCTATTTTCATTGTCACACGCGTTTACGCTTGCATTTCCTTTCGTTAACAATAATGCAACCATCTCTACGTGTCCTTGCCAAGCGCTTACATGCAAAGGAGTTCTGCCCTATACGTTACGATATTTTTCACCTTGTTAATTTATACTTGAGACGAAGATCCTTTATGGTTTAAAAAAACTTACTTCGGAATCTCTACCTTCGACATCAGCGGGTGCATGTTCTAACAGAAATCGTGCCATCGCTAATCTATTTTCCAAGGCAAGAATGTACAAAGTACTCCTGCCATCAGCATCTTTAGCGTTTACATCCGCTTTGTAGCCTAACAGTATTCTAACGGTGTCGTAATGCCCCTCTAAAGCCGCGAGCCTAAAAATACAAAAAAATGGTGATTAAGATTTATAGAATTATTTCTTCATAAAAAAACATACCTTAATGCAGTTTTTCCATCGTGAGCGTGTTGATCGATAGGTGCACCATGCTGCACCAAGAGTCTTTCTACCAAGGAAGCGTGTCCTTCTTGCGCGGCAAGCATTAGAGCACCTTTTCCATCGTTATCGGTTTCATCGATCTTTGCTCCAGCCTCGAGTAATGCTTCGCAAACGTCTATGTGGCCTTCGAAGGCTGCATAATGCAACGGTGTCCATCCAGAATTGTCTCTGTGTTGTTCGTCAAGGCCTTTGAAAGAATTTCCGATTGGTCTCAAGTCAGGAAGATACAGTAATAAGAATCGAGATGAAAATAATAAAGAGCTCCTACCTCTGTCGAGTAATTGTTTGACAACATCCGTATCGCCTTGCGCGGCAGCAACGCTCAGTACAGTTCTACCTTCGTTGTCTATACTATCTACGTAACAGCCCCAGAATAATAAGAGAGCAACGACAGATCCGTGACCCATGCTGGCTGCAGCCCAAAGAGGCGTTCTTCCCGTCGCATCGCAATGATCCACGTCTGCTTCGTATTCCAAGAGCAATTCGCACACGTCTCTATGACCTTCGAAGGCAGCCACCAATAGCGGTGTCATGCCATCCTTGTCTTGATGATCTACCGCGGCTCCTCTTTCTAAAAGTATCGTAACGACCTATGCCCGAGAGAGAGAAAGAGTGCAACGTTCGAAATAAGTTGTCGTCGTCGTCGTCGTCGTCTTCTTCTTCTTCTTCTTCTTCTAATTATTTCATATTAAAGGAAAAAAATGATCTACCTTGGCATAATTGTGGTTAGATGGAACACATAAGGCTGCAACGCTCAATGCCGTTCTACCATCGCTGTCCGCGTGATCGATTTTTGCCCCAAAGTCAAGAAGATGTTCCACTATCTCGCTATGACCCATGTAAGCTGCAGCGATCAAGGCGGTTCTACCTTCGTCGTCGGTTCTATTGACATCGGCACCATGCTGTAGCAAAGCTTTCACGATATCTTCGTGGCCGCCCCAGGCTGCAGCTCTTAGTGCTGTCCTTTGATCCCAGTCGGCGCAATCGACCATCGCACCATACTCCAAAAGCTGTTCTACCACCTTTGCGAAAATATATCTCCTTATCGTTTGGCTCTATGTAAAGAGAGATCATTTTGCGAGTATGTCTGATATGTCTACTATACCTGAGTGTGTCCACCCCATGCGGCGGCTCTCAATGCAGTCCAACCGTCACAATCCGCATGGTCCGAGTTTGCGCCTGCAGCTAAAAGAACTCGTACAACGTCCGCATAACCGTGTCTGGCAGCTAAATTCAATGGCGTATGTCCGTGACGATCCGTGCCTTCCAATTTTGCCTGGAATCCAAATATCGAGTAGCAAGATGTATAAACGCGAGAGCGAATGTGGACAAATATAAAAGACTTACATGCGGACAAGCTGCAAGAGCGAGTTCTAACAAGGACGCGTTGCCATCTGCAGCAAGCGTGTGCAATACAGTTCTACCGCAAGAGTCCGTTTGATTGATGTCACCGCTCTCACCGAGTAACTCGGTTAATGGTTCACTCGGGGATTCGTCCATGGGGCTCGCGTCCTGCGAGACCTGCGTAGCGAGATTTCATTTTCAACATTATTACGTTAAAGGAGAAGATTTGTACTCGTCGTTTATTCAAGGGGATCGTGTTGCTACCTGACTAGAAGAAACGGCGTCCTTACTGGCATCGTCCTCGACGCTCTTTTCCGATAATTTAGCGCCCGCGTCTATAAGAAGCCTCAAAAGTTTAACTTCTTGTCGTGGCCATAATATGCATTCAGAACTATCCAAGTAACATTCTTCGATTGGTGCAGCGGTACCTATCATCCAAAGCACTTGAAGGGTGTGAACGTCTAGGGTACAATTGCTCGTCGACACGTTCGTTATCGCTCGCTGTAGATGCTGTCCCAACACGCAAATCTCATCCGGGTTAAGTTCGGGTCCACGAAGAGAATAGTAGGCCGCCAGCATGGCGTGTCCTTCGACGGCCGAGCAAAGATACTTTTGGGTACAATGTTTCACGTCTAGCAGCCATTCGGCGAAACTGTGATGAAAGAGCATTAATGCACCGGCTCTAGATACCGATATGACCCTTCGCAAGAGATGCAAACGACGATTGAAGTCTTCGACGGTGATGTTAACGCACGCTGTTCTTACACATTTGAAAAGTATCTCTTGCGTGATGGGCAATTTAGCGGCAAGAATGACGTTCAACAGGGGTTGCACTTTGGCGAACTGTTTTCTACTAAAGAGCCTTTGACACAACCAGAGATAAAGACCGTTTAATGTTCCCGGTATTTCTCTAACTTCTCGAAGAACGATAAAGTTCTCGGCTACACCGTCCAACACTTTTTCCAGGTACAAAAAGCAGCCGTTACTTTTGATGTGTAGCTGATTCAACATCTCCGCTGTATCGCGAGAGATGTGTTGCCTGAAGACACCGATAAAAATAATTCGTATGAGACGCAAATGAGAATGAAATATAAAAAAGCAAAAAGCAACTAACTATACACACCTGCCAAAGGCGGCACCCACCCACCTGAGAGTATCCTCTTGATCCAAACGTTCGAGTATATACTGCTGGACGTCCCTGACCACTTGAGACTTTTTCAAATCGTCCAAACATATCTTACGAAATCCGGCAAACATACGCGAGATGGTCTTGCTATGACGTCGCGCTGTACATACTAGAAGCAACCATTGCGGAAAGAGGTGATGATGATTGGCAAGTAGTTCGGCGATGGTACGACTGACGTTATCGTTTTCTCTTCTAGAATCTCTGGTACCAGTTTGAGGAGGATTCAGCATTTGGCCCTCGTCAATGGAGTCCACCATGACGAAGAGGCAACTTTTGGGAGGTTCTACCTCTAGAAGAGGAAAGAGCAACGCCTTTTTCAACGCGTCGTCCGGATCACGATCAAGGACGTCGGGTTCCAAAGCACCTTGAATCTCTGGATCCGTTCTCAATTTTTCGGCATAGGCCTCAGCTACAGCCTCTCTCGAGGTTAAGGTTATAGTTGTTGTTGGGTTGTTTGTCGTTGGATTGTTCGTCGTAGTTGTCGTCGTGGTGGTTGTCGTCGTCGTCGTCGTCGTCGTAGTGGTAGTCGTAGTCCCGGTCGTTGTTGTTGCTGTTGTAGAATTAGCCGCCGCGTTCACCGTCGTCGTCGGAGAATCCGGAGCGGTGCGACGAATACCATCGGAACTGGCTTGAAGTAATTGTGCCACCAAAGATCTAACGAATTGGGCCGGCGAAAGGGACGCTTCGCTTCTGGCTTGACAAAAATGCCTTGCCAAAAGACGACGATTCAAAGCCCTTTGATGTCTCGCGTTGGAACCGTTCGAGGGCCACGCGAGCTCGGCACAGAAAGCTGTTTTTCCGCTTCCTGGACCGCCAAGAACCAACGTGCCACAGGTTTTCGATGTGGGCCGTTGTTCCAAACAATGGGCTAGCTTCATGAACGCCCACTCGCGACAAAAGAATCGCTTTTTCTCTATCACCGGCGCCGCCATTTTTCCTTCTTCCTTTTGATCGCTTACGTTGTTTACGCGATTTTCAATCTTCCCAAGACTCTTTTTCTACGTTGGCTCCACTACGAACCTGCTACGCGCGGACAAATACTAATTACTACAAAATTCAGATTTCTCTAGGTATATCTTAGAAGAATTTTTTTCTATATACTTTAGCCAGAGCATTACCTATTTTTCTCGTGTGAGGAGGCGCGTTGTCTTTCTTTTCTATGACTTTCTCTCTCCCACGCGGTAGCTGCGCATTCACCGATCAACGAAATTAGATCCGACGTCATATTAATTCGATTCTTACCGCGTCCCCTTATTCCTTCAGCGTCGTTGTCAGCGAAAGGAAAACACTTTCTAAGGCCGTTTTATCATGCGTCAATTTGTCTATCTATCTTAAGTATTTCTATACGTATAATAGGCTTATCCGTCCGTTTATTTTCTTTCCAAATCGAACACTGCGATATATATGTATATATATTTATATGCACCTTCCTCTCTTCTATCTTCTTTGGCTCACGTTTGCTTTGAAAATCGGCGGATCAGGTCGAACCCTGACGACGTTGGCACGTACGACGACGTTCGAGCCCCAGGGGGCTCCGAAGCTTCCTCGGACTCCATTCAGAGCTCTCATCGCCTCGTTCTGCCAGCTCGATCTTGCCTTTCCTTTCGATGCATTCTATCAGAAAGTACCTGAATAAGAAATACAAATGTTACCTTCTTTCGAACATCAAATTTTCACGATCGAATCAGAGTTACATCACGCCGATCGGGATGAAAATTCCCACCGGGGTCGTTGTCGCGACCCTTAGCGCGCACCCCTAATTTATTGTATATACTTTGGCTCTTTCTCCGCTTACTTGTTATTACATAGCCCCGAGCTATGCTATGAGCAAGATTCGCATCATGGCAAAGTGACAACGCGAAAGGACCGCCACCGACACGATTACCGTAACTTTCAACTTCCTACGAATTTGTGTGCAAAGTTTCGGAGAACGATCGGAGTTTGGTTCTTCGAACAATGGCTATCGATCCTCGTATCGGAATAAATTTGGAAATTTATAACGATACCACGATCGAGATAACCAACCGCCTTTTTTTTTTCCGCCAAAGTTTTCTTTTCGGAGGAAAGGAGAGAAAAGGAAAGGATATCGTCAATGCGAACGGGAAAGAGGAGCAGGATAACGAAGATATTCGCACGAATGCCGTACCACCTTTTCACCTAATAAAAATGTATATAAAGCGGTGATTCTCTTCTACGGTAATTCCACGCTCTCGAGAACAAAGCGTATAATATACGCTGGCGTTGGTCTCGGTGGTCGTGGACGACTCGGTCGTGCTTTTGCATACATCGCGTGTCGCCTTCGCGAATAAAAGAGAGTATGTTACGTGTGCGTGCATATGAACGTGGGAGATAACACAGTGAAAGAGTCGCGTCCTCTTCTCATCACTACACTATATTTCCCTGATTTCTCTAATGACTTTAACGAAGCTCCGGGCTACGTCCTACGTTCGAGATTCTCAGTACTTCTCTCACTCCATAAGTTCAGCTCTCTTGTCTATGTTCGCACGTTTTAATTGGTGTAAATCTATCTCACGATGCACTCTCTTTAAAGTGCATTCCGAACAGTAACATAATGTTGGAAACGATTGTATACATATATAGTCTATGTAGAAGAGAGAGAGAGAGAGAGAGAGAGAGAGAGAGTAGTAGTGTTTGAACGAATGAAAATACGACTACGATCTCGCATATAATACGTCTCTCGTCGTGCTATTCAAATTATAAAGATGAGAGGACGATCTCGAGGAGACGTCATTCGTCATCGGATCATTATTTTCCGTGCCTGTAATTGAAACGATTCGTAGGACGTGTGCATATCTTGGACAATCATGAAAGATCTTTAGATCACGGATCCTTAGCGCGTGTTATGTATGTATGTACGCGTGTAGTCAAAGGTAACAGAAAGAAAATATATTTGTGCTTTATCTACAAATTTGTGTTGCTAGAAATATGGCAACAGATACGAAATAGTTATTATCTTTAACGAACATAAACGTTTACCTTTTGTTCTATCCCAGAAACTACGTCCACAGAATTTCCCATGAATTTTCCCTATTGACAGGGCCGTTGTTATCGGAGATGCGACTGACGTTTCACATTCGTGTCAAACGTCGAAAGATAAGCGGAGATTCGACGATGTTCGTTCGAGAGATACATCGATAGGATACATAGATAGGATAGAGATAGAAGAAAGGTAGGTAGGTGGGGTTCGTGGTGGGGTTCGTACATTGTTTCGTTGCGATTTAATTGTTACTTACAATTAGAAAGGTTTTTAGGAAGAATCCCTTGTTATAGAGACGAAATCGATTTGCTAGAATTTTTCTAGACGTTGCACGTACGAGCAACGTTAATTAACGATAGACTAAGAGATATCCGCTGATGTCGGGGAAAAGAATCAAAAAGAAAAGCGTACTTTATCGTTAGCGCTGATACAAAGTTCTTATCGTGCCATATTTGAAGCGATTGAGCAACGACCTTCTTCTAAACGAGTCGATTGATCAGCTGTCCGTATATGTTCGATACGCCAACTTTCAATGGAGAATTTTTTCTTAATTGGTCACTCACACACACACACACACACATACACGTGCGTGAGCGATCGTTCGATAAGAGATCCTTATTTTCCGATAGTTTTGTCTTTAGTATTTTATTATTTGTTAAATAAATATAGCTATATTGTCGAGAGATAATTATAGCATATGACGCTAAAGGGGAGAAACTTGAATACCGATTTACGCTCGTACGATCACTTGGCGTAGGTAGATTGCGTCACGAGAGCAGGTTTCGACCATTATCTTTGCAGGACACGTGTTCGTGACGCGAATTCGATCTTGATGCGTTTCGATCGATCCTACACACTCCAATAGCTTCGCGAGAGATGCTCAATTATATATATCAAGTATTCTCCTTGGTTGCTCGATCTTGTCAAATTGTCTAATTTTATTTCATTTCTTAGCTTAATCGAATGCACCAGTTAATTAGACGTTTGAGAATTGTCCTTTGAATGAAATCGACGACCGTCCTAGTGGCAAAGTACATCCGCGTGCATCCGCAATGCGGTCCCGAAATTTGGCAAGAAAAGAATCCACGTTCGACCGATTGAACTCGAGCCCACTAACTTTTCTTTTTTTTTTCTCTCCTAGTATACGCGCGTAATGTCATGGCAAGAGGCCTACTTTGCTCAGTGATGACTCAGTGTTCGTTTGTCCTATACAAAGATAAATGCCACAAGATAAGGGGAGTCCAGTTTTTCCAAGGATGCTTCACAACGTCCGTTCCCTAAGTTTGAAAAGTTCCCAACCCGAGGTAAGGTTTAAAGACAGGAGACGTTTAGACGCGGAATGCCACGATTAATTAATTACCTCGAAAGCGTCTAAAAGCGTGACTCATTTCGTTTGACTCAGTCAATGAAACTCTTGTGAAATAATACATTCCTTTCGTAAAGTCGAATCTTTGTCTACCATCTCTTTCCCTTTGCTTTTAGAAAACAAATGGAAAAAGAATATTAAGCCACATCGTCCAATCTTACAGGAAACCTCGTAGATTTAACTTTAAAGTCCTGTAACGTCTCGTTATCTTCACCTTTCTTTCGCATAATATCGTAATTCTCTAGAGACACCTAGAGTTGCTACTCGAAGAATCTACTCTCTTTTTCTCTCTCTCTCTCTCTCTCTCTCTCTCTCTCTCTTTCCTTAGCGAACGAGGCGCGGCGTGTCAGCTCGTGAAAGATATATTTTACGAAAACGAATTCAAGCCTGCGAGAGAGTTTATTGGTTTAATATTAAAGTTCCCTCTTTTATCTTGTTCTCGCGTTTGGAAGGATATCAAGGAGGGACAATCCTACTTTTTCAAACCGAACATTTTCCAGCGAGACGAAAAGTGTAAAGTATTTTTATTAAAGAAGCTTCATGGAAAAGATGCCAAGGGAAAATTGTTCAATCTTATGCACTTACAAATATTTACCAGACATTCGATAATACGAATTGATCAGGTTCCCGAGCGTAATCGATACACGGAGTAGCTAATTTCCTGCATCTCTAAGATAGCCAGCCGATTGGCGAGAGAGTGGTCGTTTTATTTGCAATGCTTGGCAAGTTCCCGAGCTAACGCCCTTGGCCAACGCTCCTATACTAACGCTCGAATAGTACGCGCTGTTCTACGCGCTGTTCTACGCGCTGTTCTACGCGCTGTTCTACGCGCGTTTCCATTAAATTAGAGTTAACGGTTAAAGTAAGAAAGATGCAAGTTGGACGCAATTAAAAGATTTTCTTAGCTACGTCCAAGTTGAAAAGGGTAAAAGGGTATGGAATAAAAAGTGATATCCTACGGTACTAAAACGAATTGCATCTTGGTGGCAATTTGGTCTTGCAAGTCGGGCAGGACTTGCCCGACCCGGCTATCGGATCTAACTTGGATTTACGCTTTTGGCTTCCCAAAGGCTTATCCCGACTCGTTCGAAGATTTACTTGGAAATTACTTTGCCCGTCCGTATCTACGGGAAAGAAGCGTGAAGGAGAAACGAAGGAAGAGAGGCGTGCTCGCTCGCTCGCTCGCTCGCTCACAAGTTTATGAAAAGGATGGCAAGAAGAGAGTCGGAAAAGGTTTATAGCGGCTTCGCAAGCAAATCTTCTCCAAAGAAAACTAAATGTTAGAATTAATAAGAAAAGAAAAAGAATTTCAGTAGGTTTGTCAATTTTACGAACCGAGACTATGCAAATCTCCTTGGCACGGATTACTACGGTCTACCTTTACTTCTTTCTTTCTTTTCCTATTTTTCTGTCGCATTGCCGAACGAAGGCCATTAGTAAAATGAGAAGTTGACTTTGAAAAACGCATTGAAGATCGCGAAAGATGACGAAACACAAGACGAGAAAAGTTTGAATTGAAGAGGATCGTTAGGAGACATTTAGATGCCGTTGCACTTGACTGCATTCCAAATTCTGCCGATATGGATGAGCATGGGTCGTCGTCGCGACACGACTGCATGCAATGGGTAGTCGCATTTTCAAACTTCTTCTCGAATATCGTGCGAATTTGCATGGAGCTTTTTGTGGAGGAAGGGAGGGGACCATTTTCGAAAGATTGCCTCGTTTTCTCGATCCAGGCTGCAATTAGCCGGTTAACTGGTCCGTTTAATTGATTCGTCGGGGGTGATAATCTTTGCGCAGCCTACTCGTCTATGGCGTAGGACGCGCGCCAGTCTTACGTTTACGGAAGGTCCTGCCAGAAGAGTTTAATCATTCTCTACCTTCAGCCGTAACTTTCCACAATTTCGCCTAGCGCTCGAGGCTCCACGCGATATTAACTTAAGACGGACTTCCGTTTACCAGCTACCTAAGACGGAGATTAGTATCTTCCCCGCCAGTATTTCGGTAATTAATATTTACCCCCTTAAGAGAAAAAGAAATTCGCAAGAAACTCGCTTAGCTTTTGCCAGCTCCGTCAAATAATTCGGGTTGCGTTGGCAACTTTACGCCCATGTATCCGCTCCGCTTTGACTTCGTCCAAAGAGTACAAGAGACTAACACTACCACCACCACCACCACCACCATCATCATGCTGCTGGTTGCTCTCTTAAGAAAACTGCCGTCGAGGTACTCCGGGGCCACTCGACCGACTCAGTTTTTTTTTTTTTTTTCCAAGAGAGACACTTCCTTTTTCTCGTTCTCTTTACGAAGAAAGAAAGAACAAAAATCGTCGACACGTTCACGTGCCTATCGTTGTGTTTTATTAAAAGCCCTGACTAGTTTCGTCAAACTTTCAACGATAATAATTAGCTCGTCTAAACAAATATATATTTAGCACATATTTATTTTTCAAATGGTCTTTCTCGCGTTGGCAACGACGGCACGATCATCACGCTAGGCCTCTCATTTTCGCATTTAACTTTGACGTTCGTTCAAATTAGCATCCCATTCTGTTGCGCTTGAACGCGAAGCGGGTAAACAACGCGCGCGCGCGTCTGCGTACTCCGTTACCAGAATGGAATGGAATGGAATGGAATGGAATGGAATACGAGCCATGAATTACAAACGTTGCATTCGCAAAGCACGAAAGGCTTGAGAGAGAGAGAGAGAGCTGCGCCAGGAAAAATGCTCCCCTCTCCATTCTCGATTTCCCTTTTCATCCTTTCATTCAAACTGACCAACTTCTTTTCAAACTTTCAACAATGATACTTTGTAGTTAAACAATATCGGAAAGATAGATTTTTAGCAGATGCTCGGTCTATTGAAGCATCGATCCGAGTAAAAGGCAGTAAATATAGCGACCGCCATTAACTCGGGGAGATGCCTGTAGAAATTAGTATCACGCTCGGTTATAATTCTACAGCTGTTAAAGAAGCACGTAGCCAAGTTGTGCATGTACGACAGATAAAAATAATTTCTTGGAGATTAGGTGCAAGGTCGAGCATCATTCGTCATTTCATACATATCGTAGAAATATTGTTGAGCAGTCGTTATCGCGAGCTTTCCGAGACCTTTCTAAAGGAAAATAAGAAGTGGCCACAGCTCATTGTCGATATGCCAACGCACTACCAACTCCGTGCCAACGGCGTGCCAACGGCGTGCCAACGCCGTCCGGTTAATTTCCTCTTTTCCAAATGGAAGATCGAGGGTCGAAGCAATTTTATCGAGTAACGGTATTGTTCGCGGTCCACCCTTTATCACGAGTTGATTTCCTTTTTCGAGTGGCACCCTTCTTCTCCTTGTACCTTTTCCCAAGCGTATCTCGACTTGAATTAACCAACGGTAACACGCTCGGGTTTAATTGCCTTCGGAGAGGATTCTCTTCTTGATCAATCTACAAAATTGTACCAATGGGCGATAAAAAGGGCTGACCTAAACCGTGACCTCTGTACACGTTTCTGTACACGTTCCGCCGCGTGTACGTAGCGCATAAATTAGGGAAGTAGCAGCTGCAGTTTACTCACTCTCTACCTTTGTTAAATGAGAAAACTTACCTTTGCAGGCAGTTTCGTGCAAATCCACCTATCCGACTGTCTCGAGAAACTCGAGTAATAAATTTTCGTATTCACGGCGTTGAAGAAAAATCGAGCCAAGCAGGCATACGACATACATACATACCAACCAGGTGTGACGAACCGCAAAACCACCGCGTCTCGAGGAAGCGGTACGATCAATTTTCGGTACCAAGCTTTACCAAGGATCCATAAAGACGTCGCTTTGATGAGAACAAATTCAATGTTCAAGTGAGAAAAAAAAGAACAAGAAAAAGAAAAGAGAAAACTTATTTGCAAATGTTGTTGAACGAACAACAGGGCCAGCTGCAATGAATCGTAAATGCATCGTCACCTTAGCACGTTGCACGAGAACTGTCCTCGAGTCACGAAACGTAAACACACATAGTTTGGCCCGCTTTTCTTTTTCCTCTTGGTCGTTTGTCCTTCCTCTTCTCGACAATCTACATTTGTGTGTCCCGTTGAAAGAAAAATGTTAGAGAAAAAGAATAAAAGAAAAAGTAAGACTTTATGCAATCTTTCATTGTATTGAATAGAGACGTATAAACGTCGATCATTGATAGAAGGAAAGAGTAGCGATACATACGTGGACGCGTGTCTACTACGTGTGGGATGACATCGTATCGCACACCAGCGCAAACTTACTCGACCCATTTTCTAACAATGCCGTTCGTTTATTATTAGATACGGAGACTTTGATACTCGCTGTCGGCCCAGACACCGGGGAACAAAGAAACGAATCGTAGCGGTGGTAGCACGCGAATATCCTCAATGGAACGAGGGTGTTGGTGCATGGGGGTGGTAGTATTGGTGCATGAAACCTTCAGCGACGATTTTCAAATTTCCTTACGTTTATTAGATTGCCTTACGGATCGAAAAAGGTCCTACCACTAGCAACCACCACCACCACCACTACCACCACCAACCAACCAACCGCTGTTTTTCGGCGCCGAGAGTTGGTATTTACCGACGGTGAATGCGGTGAATGTGGGAAAGAAGGAATAAGCCACGAGCAAATACGTTCTTTGCTCTTTGGTGGCGGCAGCGAGCACGTCCTCGGCAAAATTCCCTTAGAGTTTGTTAGACGCATTTCTTCCGCACCCCCGATTTCGACTTAGCAAATTCGAGAACTCGTTCGGTCTTTCTTTTTACGACTTTTATTGCTTCCAAGGCAAAAGGTAAAAGGCAAAAGGCAATTGAATCGATCTATGAAAGAATATATGAATTTCTTTCTCTCGCAGGACAATGGCTTTTCCCTCATTCTTTGCTTCGTGCTACTAAGCACGCTTCTAATCTCGCGCCTATTCATTAATAAGAAAAAGCCGAATCTCTTTGACCGATCGAAAATACTAGTATATATACACACATAGCTATATATAGGGTTAGGGTTATAGCACGACAAAGTTAGCTGAGTCAGACAGGACGTCGATCGCGTGACCCGAGCGAGATAATAAAAATGTCCCAAGGTATTTTTTTTTTATCTCGAGCCTTGATGGATTATCTAGCAGCGCTAACGGTAGCGAGTGATGCATTACCTTCCCGGTCGGTAGGTCGGTACTTCATAAATTATCCTTCGTCCAATCGGACTTGAAAAACTCTTCGATTAAACTAGTGTCGATTTGAGTTGAGATTTTAGTTCGATTTGATTCATTAA